TTACAGATCATAAAAAGAGTAAACAACAAAAATCAGCAAACGTGGACATCATATGGAAACCAGTTTTTACATGTTGTTACCCGCGATCAGAATAATTAACAGGAAGGCGATGCTTCACCAAACACAATTCAGCAGAATTATCAGTGGTTACACAAGCTAATTGGTTTTACATACTTACGCGTTTGATTAGTTATCCAATGAAATAAAGTATTATAAATCACAACATAAGCAGCTCTACTTAATAACTTTAAATGTCATTTAAATGACCACATTAAGTCCACAAGAAGTAGCCAACAAGAATAACATATCAACTCAAAAGAAGTGAAGATCTGAATTGTTAGCCCTGAAATGTTTTTCGGGCTTAATTTGCAATTGCTTGAATTGCAATTACAACTGTGATGGTCATATCTTCATTTAGATAACAACTCAACATTGACGGATTCCTAGGCTTAGAAGGAAATGCATGCGAGGCATCACGTGAGGTATTTCTTCGAACTTCGCTTCTAGATTAGACAATATCAGAAACGGAGGCTGTGGTTTCTTAAAGGGGCGGCTGCGAGCAGTCAACATAGGTTTGTTTTTGAAGGCAAAACCACTTTGTTTTAAATCAGTGTTTCTCCGTCACGTACTCAGTGCAAACTACTGAGGCGAAACGTCTGTTCCTATTAACGCTGTAACTGTTGATGAAGCAAATCTCGTAAGGCGTGGTTCCGCGTAAAGGCCGATATACACGAGGGAGTTTGCTCCCGGAGCATACTTCAGGGGCACGCTTCGGGAATAAAGCTCCTCGGTGTGTACCAACGACTTCATGGGTATACTTCATCCTCGGGAGCAGAATTTCCACCCCGCAAAATGCTCCACGATATTTAACCGGTTAAATATTTGGGAGCAAACTCCCAGGGCAAATTAAGCGAACTTGAAAACGCTCCCTCGTGTGTACTGGCACGTGCAAAATGAGCCTGGAGCATCCTCCGGGAGCAAAACCCCTCGTGTGTATCGGCCTTTTTAAGAGCGTGCTTTCCCATACCGAAAAATAGGCGAGATAAATTATCAAATTTTGGCGGAAGACATACTTTGGATGACGAACAAATCAAAACGCACTTTTTCTTTTACACTCAGCTCACTAACATGAAACTTAATTAAGCCTTTAAAAAGGAGCACATTCTTGGATGATTGAAAAAGGAATTTTGTACATTCAGTTGGATCTACGTTCGATTGAAATGCCTAGTAAAATTTACAAACTATACATTCTATACAAACGTACACTTCTTGATTTTTCTGCCCTTTCTATTGTTTTTTTTTAAACGAAAATATAGAGAATAATTGTTAACAGCGTTAAAACATAATAAGCATACTCGCGCACGTCTGTCTTGAAGGACGTGAGCTTCAACTTTGTCTGACTAAAAACATTACAATATTACTGATATTTTTCATGTGATATTTGTAAAATTCCCAATTTTTTTCATTCTAGAAAGCACTGGCGCAAAATACAGTGAAACCTGTATTAGCGGACACCGTATTAAGCGGACACCCTCTATTAAGCGGACAAGTCCCCAAATTTATTTCCCTTATATGACGCGGACACCAAAAAAGTACCTGAAATGGTCAGTTCTGTTGTTGCCAACTTGTATTAAACGACAGGTAGCCCAAGCTCGAAATATGAGCATCGTTGAGCATCGGCATTGTTACGTAACATTCAAAATATAAGGATTTGCATGGGGAAAAAAACCTATCGTTTCTGTACCCTACGAAAATGAAACGATTTCAATAAAAAGAAAAACAGCTTACCTTTGATACGTCTCTCCTGTGTGGTCCACGGGCCGATTTATGGCCGTTTTATGGGTTTTTATGTAAAACCGTTTACATAAAAACCCATAAAACGGCCATAAATCGGCCCGTGGACCACACAGGAGAGACGTATCAAAGGTAAGTTGTTTTTCTTTTTATTGAAATCGTTTCATTTTCGTAGGGTACAGAAACGATAGGTTTTTTTTCCCCATACAAATCCTTATATTTTGAATGTTACGTAACAATGCCGATGCTCGCCGATGCTCATATTTCGAGCTTGGGCTACCTGTGATTAAACGGACAGTTGTAATAAATTCCACCACGCAACATGCCAGACACTAGTCTGCTACACAGCCGTTTTTAGTGTCGTCACGCAACGCTCCTCCCCACTAACGGCTGCTGAAAACCGAACTACATTCCTTTCCCGTGATTAGCCAATTATAATTCAGTTCCCATTTTCTGGAAAGTGTTCGCGCCACCTTCGCGGTACTGTGACTCCTCCAATCACAGCTTTGCTTTTATCGTTACCCCATGTGTGAACGACAGAATAATCAAAATCGTCGCGTAAAAACAAACAATTAACTACAGTGTTGTCGTAGTCGAGTCCTATTCAAAATTTAGGAGATAAGCAGCAACAGCAAGAAAGTCGAGCAAATTGCGATTCACAACATGGATGTGCTCATAAAGTTGCCAGGTATAGTTTCGGGAAATCGCTCATCGATAATTTATAAGATTACTTTTTGACTCAGTACCCTTGAGAGTTTAGTCTTCACAGAACACAATGAGCACATCCGGTGCATTAAATTCTTGACTACATATCAGCACATATGCACGTTAAATGAAGAACCAGCCGATCCTGGTAAAAGTTTTCTAGGCCTATCAAACCTTCTTTTCACTTGGAACTTTCTTGACCGCTTAAAACAAACTTTTTTGCAAATTAACCTCTTCGTTGCTTGAAAACACAGAGCCCGTCTAAATTCGGCGACGATTGATTGATTTGTCGAAAACTGAGAAGCGTGCTCGCTTCCTAGCGCCCTGCGGCTCACGTATTGTCAAATTTCTTGTACATGATTGGTTTGTTCGTTAGACCACAAACACAAAGGGAAAGGAATGTAGTTCGGTTTTCAGCAGCCGTTAGTGGGGAGGAGCGTTGCGTGACGACACTAAAAACGGCTGTGTAGCAGACTAGCCAGACACCGGAAATGCGAAAAATTGCCACCCACAATTTTTTCGATTTTTATATTAAAAAAAACGTGACTTGACGAACTTATTTGATTAGTTTCAGGGTACAACATTGGTTTCTATTTCGTTTTGTTTGTATAGAGCTTGTTTGACTCATCTGATTTCTTCAAATCTAAGTTGCAATCTATGCCCGGGAATCTATGTTTACGGTACTATGGTCAATTGGTCCACTTTTAGAAAAAAATTAATGCAAACGTACATCGTCATAGTCTTTGAGGTATATATCCTAAACATTTCCACTGTTCATTTGAATGGCATTTGACACCTCATATGACGTTATCTATCGAAACCTGTATTTGGTGGACACCCTGTATTAGCGGACACTACAGCATTCCCCCGGGGTGTCCTCTTAATACAGGTTTCACTGTATTCTCGAACCAAGAGTTTTTTTTGTCTATAAACTGTTCCTCCTAAGAGGAAACTCAGGCAGGTAGTCATAGCCATGTTATTTTCCTTTTTCAAGCTTCAATTTGTGGCTATCAATGGCAGCACCTGAATAAATTACAAGACCAGCTCAGTTAGTAGAGCGGGTCCGACTCCAAGGAAGGAAGCAATCGGTCAGGGTCTTAAAAAAAATAAGAAATTAACGTATTGCCTCTATTCTGCAAACGGCTAGACGTTCGCGTGGCTGGGATGACCACGTAAAATGGCGGTCCCTTCTCCAATAGGAGACGTAGTAATAACTTGAGTCAAGAGAGAATGAGATCAGGCCAATTTTAGCAGCTATCATACACTCTCTGTTAAGGCGAAACAAAAATAGAGCCTGATCTCAGGTTGGAGTGAGAGTAGTGTCCTCAGTTACCACTGTCGTGCTAAATACATTGACACGTGCGTTTTTAACATTAGAGACCTTTAGATTCTTCAAGGACGAGGACGACTCAGACGACTGCGAGTATGAGATTTGACTTTACGTTTTTCGCGCATTCTGAAAATATAGACTCCCCGGAAAGCTTCATGTTACCATTTTTCACTAGAAAGTTAGCACTGTTAACTTTAGCGAAGGAGGTTACACTCTCTCCCGATCGCAAAGTGATAAAACTCCTAACAATTTGATGACTTGTTTTTGCCACTTCGACATTCTCGCTAAAACTCGTAGTAGAGTGACGACGGCTACCACGCCTGTTCCCGCCAAAATGACGCTGGTTTACGCGCCCTTACTACGTAGTAGAATCTAAAGGTCTCTAATGAAGAAATCTGTTCCAGGGGCGGATCTAGGGCCCCCCCTGAGGTGACCTGCGGTTTTCTAATACAACTGGTATTCTGTGGTTTATTGGTGTTGAAGTAGAGCAAGAGACGAATGCACCCCCTCCTAAAAAAATCCTGGATCCGCCCCTGTGTTCTCCGTCTTTGAGTATCACCTAAGTAGAAACAAATCACTCTGCAATCGAACAATCCCTTAGGAGGCTGCCAAACAGCTGTCTCTACTCCCTTCTCGTAACCTGAGATCAGGCTCTATTTTCGTTTCGCTTTGAAAATTACATTCGGGCGGGCAAGGCGAAGCGGTAGCCGTTATAGAGAATGTATGAGAACCGCTCAAATTGGGCCTGATCTCAGGTTACCCTTCTCGCCGCTATTAAAAGGACGTTTCGCCAGCGGAAACGTCCCTAGCGGCGAGGAGCGACGAGAGACGGCTGTTTTCGCAGGTTCAACAATCTCACACTTTTTAGTGCAACCTGCTCTTAACAGTCGTTTAAAAGCTCCCTTTTTTGCTTCAATAAACTCAGCTCCAATATGCTTGTTGATCTGTTATCGACAAATATTGAATATTGTGTAATACTTTTCATGTTTTGAATATCACACATAAGCCTCTTATTTACATTACCCAGCAGAATTGTTTGTTTACGAGTGAACATGGCACTACGTGCTTTCTTGACGATTATATGTTTTATCCCTATACATTCTTGCTTGTCAATCTAACAAATTTATTTATTCAGTTTTCTTACAATTAAAAGCGTCAGGACCCACTTCGCTTCACTGTTGATCACTGTTTTTCGGTGGCGTGATGCAAAGTGTCAGAGGAAAAGGAAACATACAGGCTAAAATATTACATCATTAAAATATTAGGCAGCCAAATGTAAATATTGTTTTTGATGAGAGGGGTTAAACAGTATTACACGGAGTATATTAAAACATTTGTGAGTCTGCAACCTCAATCTTGAAAAGGTCTGACTTGAGGTAAACTGAGAGTATAGATATTTGCTTGATTTTACTATGAAGGGTTTATAGGTATTTGTTGTTGAACTACAAGTGCTCTCTTAATTTTCGAGTAGTTTTTTGCAGTTGCACCAGATGAGTGGGGAAATGGCATGATCCAAAGGATTGAACAGACACTGAAAAATACAACACAAGACCAAACCTATAATAATACTATGAAAACTCATCCTTGAATACCGCAGGTCCCTAATTTACGTAGGCTTGCTTCTTGAAGAAAAACGAAACACATTCGTTTTAGGAGGTTCTATCCTAACTAAGACAGTTCCTTCTAGTTTTAAGCCTCACAACATTCGGAAAGTTCTAAGTGAACTAAAACTGAAGACTAAAACAGATCGTTTATGAAGCAAGACGTGTGTCCCGTCCTACGAAGAAATGGTACCTTTGCTATCATCATCATCATCATCATCATCATCATCATCATCATCATCACCACCACCACCACCATCATCATCATCATTATCATCATTGTCATCCTCGTCATAACTATCATCAACAGGCAGCAGTCTCATATTAAAGTGTCATGAATGTCTCACTTCTGGGTAGAAATTGGGGATTTTGCTGTCACTTAGGGCATTCAGAATTAAAAGCAAATATTTTTACTCATAAAGGCTACCACGGGTGTCTTCAAGACCCTCAAGACCCCCTTGACCCCCTACCAAATGACTCTGAACTTAATTGATTAGGGAAAGGAAACTGAGCGAATCAAGTTCCATTTAGGTCATTATACTGGGCAAACTGGACTGAAAGTTGATTCACTCAGTTTCCTAACCCTAATCGTACGGGTCTTAGGGGTCTTTGTTTTCAAGACACCCCTGGTATCACCTAGGGAAAGAAAGGAAGAGTCATCCTCTCTAGTTTAGGGTTGCATGTAAAGAAATGTCTATACAAAAACAACAAATGCCTTCATATCTTTATACAGTGTTACCCTAGATTTTGGTCTTATTTAGGGGTCAAATATAGCATGAGCCAAGCCCAGATGGGTCTTTCTAATTTTTTGATGAGCACCCTGTCTCTTTCATTTTAGATTCAGCCCCTAAGGTAATCAGGAACACCATCATCATCATTACAATAATGGCCAACACCTTCATGATTAAAATCACTGTGAAATAATCATCGCTATCATCATCATTGTCATGAGCATCGTGGTCCTGCAAACTGTTTTCCTTGATCAAAGCTCTACTGATCTAATTCATGCTATACAGGTAATGCTATCAATTACTGACATGGACAACCCACGAATTAGTGCAATGTGTAATTTACTGCCGCAGCAATAGTTTACCATTGCCATTAAAACCTGTGTAAATCTACCACCAGTTCTAAGTCAGCGTTTGAGCCTTTACAAAAAGTTCCTCTGCCACCTTTTCGATCCTATCTCTGTATTCTAACTTTTCATAGTTGGATTTCGGAACCCCATCCATACCATACAGCACTCCCCACCAAGCTGCTGCTATTACACCTGTGCTATCACTATCACCACCATGGAACATGGCTCGGCTACAAAGCTCTTCCCAGGATGCTCCAGCTCCTAGAAGTGCATCATAAGCAATCATAGGGGCATCATGACCACTAGCCCCAGCCCAACCCTGGCGATAGCTCACAGATTTGTAAAACACATCACGTACTCTGACAGAGTAAGGCTGAGGGAAAACAGGATCACTGTCACCATGGAGGATTCCCCTTGTTGTCAGATAAGCAGTCCATGAATCAGTGAAATAAGACCAGTGCTCTTCATTCTCCTTGACATCCCGTCCAGCCTCTTTGATGTACCTCAAGGCTTTTGGGAGAGTGGACAAGAGACCTGCACCCCACTCCCTGATAGGTCTTCCTTGAACAGCAAATGCAGTGAGCAGAGATGAGGCAAGGGATCCAAGGTAACCTGTCATTAACAATAATTGTTAATGGTAATGTTTATAATTATTATAATATCATTACCTTCACTATAATGACTTCCATACATTAAATGCCAATGCGGGTAAAGGCGCACAGACTAAGTACACTCAACCCTCTCTAATGGACACCTCTAGGACTTACATTTTGTGTCTGTGTTATAGAGAGTTGACTAAGAGGAGTAAAGAACGGCAGGGACCAAGTCTATGTGTCGGTTTTAGGGAGGTGTCCATCCTATAGAGGTATCCACTGAGAGAGTTGACTGGGCCTTACCAACAGTTCACATTCATTAATAATCCCGTTAAAAATAAGTCATTCATTCATGTCAAGATGTAAAAGGAATAATTTTTGAAGCTTTCTTTCCAAAAACTACCAATCAACCCAGCAAAGATTTTCTTGATTCACTTAATCATGTACAGTAAAACATTATTATTTTGTACTTTTTCATGATGTTCAGTGCTCCTTAATTCATTTCAGCTTAGCTGCTGAGGAGGAAGCACTCTGGCAGGAATTAATTAGTCCAGCAAACAACACTTAAATCCAACAAAACCTGGCTGATATTGCTGACTAGTAAAGCCGTGTTGAAATATGAAAACCTGACTGTTGTCAGGTGAGATGAATATTGTCTATTGCCACTAGTGTAGGTTTAGGTTTTGCAGCATCCCTGTTAAGGCCCTCAAGTTTTATTTCACTCTTAACTGAAGCTTCAACAAACAATTCTTTGCACTATTCTTCTAACACTTTTTCTGTTCAAAGCGAGGAATCTGTTTAAAAATCAGGACATTTTGTGCGTACTGAATACTACCATCTCCCCTTGATTTTCAAAAACAAATTGTGATGCCTGTACGAATCTATGGTTGGGGGCTGAAACAATCCAGGTAAAGGGCCCAAACTTTTCACTTCCTGTGTGTCAAATTTGGTAGTGATCAGAAGTTTCTGAGAATTTTTTGGATTTTGATCTCTAGGAATGACATTTATAGGGCAAGGGGAAATAAGTTAAAAGGTATAAAAGTGACAAAAGTACCTGTTGGGTGGTTGTGTGTCATTCTTCCACTCTCAACACTAACGGCAATCAAATCATCAAGTTTCTCAGGGGAGTGATACAATAAACCAATACACATGGAGCGCATGGCAGCCCCACAGCCACCCCCTTGGGGATTAAATGGCACCACATAACCATCTGGCCGACCTGGTCGAAGTTCTGCACAATTTGATAATGTTGTATTTCCTGGTGCTCGTCCAACCATGTCTCTCTGAAAAGACATTGTAAGAAAGGTATTTTCCAAAATTTTCTTCAGTCCACCTTGCAGCTAACATCACTTGTTGATAACAGAGTACATTTTTGTCAAGAAACGGAAACTAGATCATTTCAGTCATACACAGGTTAGAGGCATGCAATTTCAATAATTTTTAAAACACGATCAGAGACAGAGTGAGCCTCTGTATGGGTATTTCCGACAAAATCAAAGTCGCAACAATCATCATTGATGAAGCAACAATCTTACAGATTAAAACAACGATCACATTGCCATTTCAATCAAGTTTGACAAAATTAGCCATGCAATAAAGGCAAAGAAACCAGCCAAAAAGCCTGCTGCGAATTCAGAGTTTTTCTCAGCTTAGTTTTTCATTTCCGTCATCGTTGTGATTGCCTGACTTCACTAGTGGCATTACCATGCAAAAAAACTCTTGATATACGACAATTTTGCCCAAAAAAACTGATTATTTGAGGGAAGACGCCCAACGAAATGGACGTCCGCAGGTACCCATAGAGAGGCTCACAGAGTCATACACAGAGTCCTGAGGCTTCTTGACCAGTAGGTGTTTAGTGGAGACTCTGAAGGCACTAGAATAATATAAGGTTTTTATTGCCTGGTCGCTTTAATTTCAGAGAATGTCTTGACTTACGGAAGAAATGATGTCCAAATGGAGAAGTTTGCAAGAAAACTGCGGACTTGATTTAATTAAAAACACTGTTTTGTAGAAGAAAACAATGAGAAGCTCTATTATTCACGTTATTCGTTATTTGAAGTTCACCTACATGTAAAGCAAGATTACCTACATGGACAAAACTTGTTCATGGCAGGATTTCTGCAGGAAAAAATTCAACGTCCTAAGAGTCTCATCCCACAGACCAGGAAGCCTGATGGCTCTGGGATAGTTGAGGGTCTGGCTCTCTGATTTTGCTGCGGTAGCTTTGGGATCCCACCCCCACTCTTGACAAACATTGTATTGCTATCAGTGTTACACAACAGTTTTCGCAGTGACCCGATTTGGAGATGGGATAAACCATATACCAGTCCAAAGCTCTTCCACTTTTGGAAACGTGTGAAACAATAGCTTGATGGGTTAGAGTTTCGCATTAATCCGGCAGTCTTTGCTCAGTTTTTAGTAATACAACAATGAAGATGAAATGTTAGAAGACTTGAGCAAGAGATGACGCACCATGGATTTGAAGTGTTAGAGAAGGCAAGCTTTTTCTTTTGATGTAGACATGTCAATTTTGCATCTTATTTCGATCAATGAATCATCTTTACTTTGGAATATCTCTCATGAAAAAAACAAGCACCGTGTCATGTGACTCAAATTTGCTCTGTGACTGGGTAATTGCTTGTCTTGGGTTGCGGATCAAAACATTTCCAAAAGTGAAAAGCTCTGGACTGTATATACACCTATATATAATCCTACTACTCCTAAGCAAATAAAATACAGACCAAAAATTTTCGGACGAATACTTTTTGAAGTAATTTCTTATTTCCGGACGGCTGTAAAGATGCTTTGATAAACTAGTAGAGTAGGTCTTATGTGATGTAATGGTGTTTGATTTGATTTGATCCTGGTTGATTGTCTGGTTGAGTGGGTCTTCATTTACAAGGGAATCTTCATTTTCAAGTGGGTCTTTGTTTTCAAGGGGGTCTTCATTTTCAAGTGGGACTATGTTTTTTTTTTAAATAAGCAAATGAATGATTTATGCTTACCATACTTTCTTTGTACAAAGAGGCAATTTGAGTAAAGAGTTCTTCACGAGTTGTCCAAGTTGACGCCAAAGCTTCCGCTGTTGCCAGGTGTAACACAGTGTCATCGCTCACCATCCATCCTTTTATGTCAATTTTCTGAATTCCTCCAAGCTCAAGCAACTCATCGTGGATAGCTTCCCCTGAATGACAAAATTCCCAATCGCCATTTTTGTAGCCCAAGGCATCTCCCACAGCACTTAGGAGCATACAAGCTTTAAACCGATCCTTGGAGATTGGCATTTTGAAACAACCTGGTATGTAATGCACAAAACATTTTACATGCAACTACAAAACTCATGCTCAAGACAGTGTCAGGGTCTGTGTAAATGGGCTTTAATTGCTGTATCCACACTGACCAATTGAAATTTTTAAAGCATATTAAAGATTTGTACCCTGGTGCCAGAGGTTTTCCTTGATTTTTCTTCACGAAAGAGATCAAGAGGAAGCGGAGACAACGAGTCGCGAAATCGACGAGGAGAGAGAGAAAAACCTCTGGTTACCTTGGCCTCGAATCTCACTTTCATGCAGACGACAGCTGTCAAAAGCGTCAAATTGCTAATAAAAGGAGTGACCAATGGCAACTTGGCAAACACGTGCTTACCAGCCGCTATTTTTTTAAGTCGGGGTAGACCTGGGGAAATTATGTTATGAACAAACCATCTCCACTTGGGTGGTAAAGAGTGATTTGTTAATCGGGGTCAAGCTAAAGCATGTGTTAACGACGGGCGACAAGAGTCCAGGAACACTTTATAAAGAAACCGACATTGTTCCAAACGACTGCTGCAGGATTTGCAGAATTCATGTAAAAGTAAGTGGCCGATCTAAAATCAACTTTTTTGGGTATAATAACAAGGATTTTTCACAAACATTGTCATCTGTTCTGTCGGCAGTGTGCCAGAGGGAAGTTGAAAAGTTTGCAAGAGTCTATCAATCGCACTTATTGCATTGTTTACTTCTGCGGGGCCCACTGTTCGCGTCGATTTGCGGGCATTCCCTTCAAAATAGTAATATTAATATGTATTCTGGCAATCTGGCTCGTATTTTGGTTTGGCGGCTCCATTTCCTTTTTTTGTGGAACAACGACGCTGGGAAGAGTCATGCAGCACAACAAACCCTTAATGTTCGGAATGTACTTTCAGAGGTTTTTGTTGACCCAATAGACCTATTCGGCTAACTCAATGTTGTACCCAATTCAAACCCTTTGGGAATAAAAAGTTTTGTTTCAGGAATTTCCATATCATTTATGCGGGTATCAGCGGCCATCCCGAGGGGGCGACCCCCGGGCACCCAGGGGCATTTGTCACAGCTGCAGTGACAAATACGTGCTAAAGCCCCTGGGGTAGGGCAAAAAATTGGGACAAATACCCCCACCCCTGGAGCAACCTGGGCAACATATAATAAGTAATTTTTTAAAAAAAATTCCCGTTTACTTGCAAAAACGCATAACTCCAGCACAAGAAAAATGGGAAAACAGTCACTTTAAGGAGAACATTCACGTCAAGACAGGCATGACAAATTATCTATTTCAGAGGAATAAGCACAACAAGACTAAAGGGCTAATACAATAATATTACACTATGTTTCATTTGAAGCTTTAATATCTCTGATCAAATATGAAAAAAGATCAAACTACACAGGCTGGCAAAAGACTGATAATCATACTGAAAGATTTATAATGATAATAATGATAAAAATATTGGCATTGGCAATGTCTATTAAATGTCTGAAATTATAAAGAGAGACAAGATTATCATTGCTGCTTCACCATTAAATAAAAACATGAGTGTTGTAACCGTAATTCTATAGACTCATTCGTACACACAATTTAAATGTAAAATATCTGAAATATGAACAACAAGTACAGTGTATCTGGAAAATCTGTCACGATTATACTTAAAGGGTTTTTCTCTTGTAAAAAGATTATGAGAATAATAAAGGATTTCTCTAGCTTGTTACTTGTGACAAAATACAATGCCATTGTTTCAAGAGAGAAAACTAAATTTGTAACATATACTGTTTTTAAATGCACCACCAAGCAAAGCGCACAAAGGATGAAAATCCCCAGAATCAATTACACTATGAACTACTTCTAGATGATTCAGAAATTACACTATAAACACGAAATAATAGTGATCTGCCCCATGTGTATATAAAAAATCCATTCATAAATCGAGGACAGATAACCATATTCACTGTCAGGCTGGAAACCTAATTTGATCTAAATCAGCCTACTTTGCAAACTATGCTTCTAAGGATGAATTAACCCTTTCACTCCCAGAGTCAAATTATGGAGACATGTAGTGTAGTTCTAACTTTTGAGTCTGTGGATGAAATCTTATGGTGTGACCATTCAAATGAAACCTCTTCAGCAGTACTCTTGCATGGTACCATTTGTTTTTCAGTATGTTACAAAATGAAATTTAGAATTTTTCCCATATTCTTTCGAAAGCTCTTCTTCGAGCCCTGCTGTAAAATATTAAATCGAGCAACTCGTTATATAAACTTATTGAAGCTGACGAGTTTACATTCTCGCAATTCGCAAAATTTGTTAGAAGATAAACGTTTTTGAAGTGTCAGTCCTTAATAGCTTTCATACAAATTCTATCCTCACTCCTTTGTTCTGTCTTCCGACAATGGATGGCTCATAATTTATCTCTAATTTGAATGATAACGGTATGACTTACCTCGAGGGCTAGAAGAACGTCGATCGAGCGAGCCGAGCTTGCTTGTCCTGTGGCGAAAACCGCTGAACGTTGAGACAGCAGATTACGTACAAATCCCGTGGGTATGGCCCCGGGGTGTTTTGCCAAAAACGCAAAAGCGCTCTAATGCCCCGCATGCGGGGCATGCTTTTGCTACAAATCCCCTGCTAAGCCCGTGGGTTGCCCGTGGGTTACCCGGGGGTCGACCCCTCGGGATGGCCGCTGATACCCGCATTAGATCTGAATGCCACATTATAATGCAAATGCAATACCCAAAGAATCTTATCCCCGGGAGATTTGAATTGGGTACAACATTGAGTTAGCCGAATAGGTCTATGCCAAAAATAACGTTGGTTAGATCTTTTTTGGGCGTCGCAGGAAAATCAAGCTGCACCGAAAATGATTACGTACTTGCACAAAGTTGTATGTTTTTTTCCTACAAGGAAACGTTCATTCCGTATTCGGAGACTTTCTATTTTGCTGCCCTAAACAAGTTAGTTTATTTAATGGAATGCCAGTATTGTAACAGAAAATATACTTTCCATGTCCGGTTGATGAAATGGTGAACACATCCTTTCGACTCAACGCAGCGAAGAAAGCTTTCTTTTGTTGTTCAGTGAGACTCAGGAAAGCGCTCATTAAGTACCGAGGTCAAAATTTCTTCGAATATTCTTTCAGGAACAACATCCATGTCAAAATCTCGAAATATGGCGTGCCTTTACGTGCCTTGGTCCCGCGCAAATGTTATTGCGAGTGCAGCATACAAAAACAATTTTCTTCCCTAGTAGAGAGAGGCCAAAGGAGATGTGAAAATCCTCAACGTCCCCTCGGTAGTTACAATTAAACGAGCCAATCAAATTGGTTTGCGTGTTTGAAAAACTATCAACCAATCAACGCCCGAGGGTCAGATCCTGACCCTGTCGTCTGCATGAAAGTGAGATTCGAGGCCAAGGTAACCAGAGGTTTTTCTCTCTCTCCTCGTCGATTTCGCGACTCGTTGTCTCCGCTTCCTCTTGATCTCTTTCGCGAAGAAAAATCAAGAAAAACCTCTGGGACCAGGGTAAAAGATTTGAGACTTGCGGAAAATATTAAAGACATTCCCACATAGTCAACATGCCATGGCAATAGAACAAAAAATTCTTAATTTCTTAACTTAAGGGAAGTATTCTACATTCGACCTACTCAATCGCCTGATGAGAACAGCATTCTCGCTCACCTCTCTGTGAAGTTGCACCAACCAAACGTTTCACAAACTTCACCAAACGTGAGCTATAAAACGTGCACGGTAGCATGAACGCCATGAACTGACAGGCCTTGAGAAAGGTCGGATCCAGATTTCCTCGGCTTCAGTTCGCAAGACACCGAAGCTGGGAGCTGAAGTTGAGCTGAAGCTGGGTAGAAATTCAGGGCGGAAAAACGTATTGAGCATGCGTGAACTTTTTTGCCCAGATCCCCTGGCCGGGTTTGAAAAAATGGCGGGATTTCAAATATTTTATTGCCTAAAAATAAGATGTTTCCACTCATAACCTGGAAAGAACAGGCAATTTGTCTTCAAAAGTTGCAAGCTGTGGTTATAACCTTGTGGTTTCTTAATTTTCTCGAAGAATACCTCATAGTAAAACGGACTTTAACGACATCAATTCCTTGCGTTGTACTGGAAATGTGCATGCGTAGGTCCGATTTTTTTCAAGATGCATTCACAAAATGTGTTCATATAAGGAAGTTCCTGGATATATAAGGTCCGGAGCTCCACTGTGGACACAAAAACAACATATCTTTGGACAGTGATTTGTCCACAAAAATTAACGCTTGCCCACAATGTGTTTGAAGGCACTGAACTTGTCGCACTCGAGCTGATATTTTAAAACCCTCGCTCGATCAGACACTCGTAGTTTCGCAGATAACTAAAATATAAACAAAATCCTCAATGTAGAAGTTATTGCGTTGATATGCGGGCAGAAAAAATGTCAATCTTTATCTAGTAAAATCTTCCCAAAAATCGGTTTTAAAGCAACTATAGTTTATTTTTAAACTTGATCGTTTCGCGTACTAAGAGATAAATATAAACTACGCTTTGTGTTGTCAAGTTGAAAATGCATAACATCTGTCAAAAGCCTACACGTAAGTAGGATTTCCTTCAAACAAAGTTA